AGAAGCAGTGCAAATGGATGCATAAACAACCCAATATCTACGAAGTTTCATGTGTCAAATACCCCTTATGAGGAAATATTATAGTTGGATATTTATAAAATTCAAACCTTTATCATTCCATTGATATACAGAAGTCTGTGTAGCAAGCCTCCATTTTGTTTCTTAACAGGGGTCAGTTTTGCTTGTCCCTCACCAAATAACGTCTTGATAACTTCATACATAAAACTTTGTTTTGCATAGTTAAGGAGTGGCATTTGATGACATTTTCCTAATTCATTTGCCTGTAAGTTCATAAAAAATTGGTTTATTTGTTTTTTAATGTAGTAAGCCATGGAATATAAACTAGGGTTGACACTGTGTAAGGCATAATGCCTATTAGATGCATGTTCCAAATAAATTTTACATTTGATAGGAAATGTGAGGACTGGGGTGTTATTTCATCCCATACTTTGGATGACACTACCCGTGAGATTAGCCTATGTTTTATCCATGGGTGGGTGCTTTATCAATAGCACTTTTGGTTTATCTGCATATTTGTTAAAAGCAGGAAAACATTTTATACTTTATAGAAGTGTCAAAGTTTAAGTATCCACACCGGTTACTATAAAGACGGATGTTAATCCCCCGGAACGTGTTTTTTAGAGAAACGGAGGGCCTAGCAGTTAAGTGCTAAAATTCCTTTGACAATTTTAAAACTGGGTCCTATATTATGTATGTCTTTAAAGTAATGTCTGTGTAACTCACTATGGATCCGGATTTGTAATGTACTTTAACCGATCACCGTTTGCACTTTCACGTTCAAGTTCAAAGAACAACATCAGATTAATTTCATGATCCCCCAGTCCTTACAACTTTCAGTCAAAAATTAGTTTGAAAAAAGCCTCTGACGACTGATTGTGTCACAGATGTTTAAAAGACGCAGATAGCAAAGATCTTATTTTTTCACATGACATTCTTTCTTTCGCCATTTCAACATCAACAGTGCGTCGTCATCAGTTTATGCGTCATCGGTTTGAATAGATATCAGAATCATTTATTATGTTTAAAAAGGGTTATCTCAAAATTGAAAAAAAACTAAACGAATCGTATGAGATAAGTGGAAGATCTGTAACTGTGTGATTTGTTATTGGCTTTATCGGCAAGCCTCGCGAATATATATATCATTTCAACTCGTTGCAAAAAGCCAATATCAAATCACACAATGGAGATATACTCTTTTTACATTGTGATGCAATTGCATTGTGGCATGAAAGTGTGATGGCATGTCAAAAATTAAAGCTTTGCAAATTCATGACCTTCAATTTAATTGATTGAAAATGAGAATATATATCATCTGTATAGATATACATGTGACATTGACCTTATCTTATTAGCCTGAAATGTATACCGTCCATACTTTTGAGGGAATCTTTCAATTTAAAAAAATTGAAAAAATCGGACCTTGACCATTTAGATGCTCTATGTTTTAAGATATCTATAATTATTATGCAAAAAATTCAATATGGCAGAAATATGCCCCCAAACATACGTGTATTAAATGTGTATCTCCATATACAAGAAGATACCTGTGATACATATGATCTATTGAGATTAGATATTATAGAATTAATTTCCCGGACAAGTTGCTTAATATTCTCCTAAATATGATTATCGTATTATCTGCTTCGTGATTGGTAGGCCCGGGTTTGATTCTCGTTCGTGGCGCCGCGTCAAACGTAAGACGTAAACATAGGTAGTGACTGTTCCTTCGCCAAGCGCTCGGCACTAGAAGTGAAAGTCACGAGTTTTTCGGATATGACCTTAACAACGCAGGTCCCGTGTTAGTGGCGGATCCAGAAATTTTGAAAAGGAGAAGGACGACCAGTTTGAGGTCAGGGTAGGCGCCCACAGCCACACAAAAAACATTGATTTATCAAATATTGTGCATTTTTTTGGACACAAAAGGTGGGTCCGGACCCACTGGCCCCCCTCACAATCAGCCAGTGCGTGTCACGGTAGGCGTTGGCACGATAAAGAAACCTCACTGCTCAATGGCCCTTAGTGCCGCGTATAGGTCCAAAATTGAAGCCCTTCACCGACATACTGTGACGTCTCTGTATGAGTGAAAAATTATGGGTCTTTAAACAATATACAATCAACCAATCTTCTAAAAAAAAAAAATAGCCAGGTATGAAAGAGATGTTTCAGACTCTGATGTGTATAGCATTTCTAGTTGAAAAGGTTATATCGAATCGAATCAACGTTGGGATGAAAATAAATATTGTATATTGATAAAACATTCTTTATTTTTATATTGACCGTCTTTCCCTAGTAAAATTCCCTAATAAAGTGATACAACTTTATTAAAACAAATTAAAACAGCTACATTTACTATAATAGCATTATGTGACAAAATGTCAATTAATTGCTTTTCAAAGCAAATTATACAACAACTGCAGTAGACGTTTTGCTCAAATTATAATGAATGATGGGTATTACTAAATGGAACATAAAAAATAAGACACACAATATTTCTAACGTCTGGTTTCCATGTGAGGCAATTCAAAATGTAAAAATTAACATTTTCTGTTTTAATGGAGTACAAATGTACTATAAATATACAGATAGAAAATAAGGATTTATACAAAAAATACAAAAATAATTGAGAGATTCTCCAATTCCGTTTTTTTTTTCAGATTTTAAGATCTCATATTGTAAACATGTTTTATGCCCCCTCTTGCAGAACGTCATTTTATGCCTACGTCACAAATACACAATTACCACGTCAATCACCCTATCGGTTGAAAAATACCTTCAAAATCAGTTATGTACAATTAAATACAGGTTTTTAAACTTATTTCCTAGATTTGATAAAATGTATTGATTTTGTGAAAATAGTTGCTTTAAAGGATAAATATGCTTTTTAACTACGATGCGCAAAGTATTACGGACTGGAAATACCAGTTTGCCCCCTTTATAGAAAAAAACATAATTTCTTTTACTCAAAAAAAAAAAATTTATAAATTCTACACTGAAATTAAAATAATCTATTTACACATGTACATGTAATAATTGTAATGAACATCACTTTCTTTCTGTGAGAAACTCAAAATGACTCAAATTTGCCATAAGTTGTCATCATTTCACCTCTGAAAACTAATGTCTGAAAATAACATGACAACATGAATTTCGCAGTTCGTGTCTAAATTTGGTGTCAAAAAACCAGTAAATGTATGGATTAGCAATATGATTCAGAAGATTAAAGCGGAGACAAAAAAATAAAACATTCAGCTTATATCCTGTAAGAAAGAAAACATTGTAATCTACAAAACTGTAGATTTGGGTAACCTGGGTGTCGTCAGATACGTAACTACGTAAACAATAATGATGACAAGAAACATAAGAGTAATTCTCTGTCTCGCTTTTAATTTCCGGTTTCTGACAGTAATTGCGTTGTTGCAATGTTCAATGTTATTATGTCTCACATCTGTTTCTGGAAGTTCCTCCATTGCAATATTTTCATCATCAGAGATGCGTCGTTCTGCAGGATTGACATGATGACCGTAATTACCATTATTTTGTCTTGGAGGTGACAGTGTTCTATACATAGCTCTAATTACAGGGATGTAGAGGTCAGAAGTAACACAAATATTTCCTAAGGTAAAAAAGAGTAAAACTCCTAAGTACGATATCATCTCTTGAACTTCTTCGGTACTAAAATTTCCAGCTTTACAGAAAACTATTTCCTCAGAGATGTTAAATTCGTTCAATTTAAGTTCCTGTCCAATTAATTTCAAAGATGGAACTGATGGCCCAAGCGATATTAGTAACATAAATAACAGAGATATTTTGCACAATTTCTTCGTCATTTGCCTGCCAAATGGACGACAGATTAATAGATACCTTTGTAGCGCTATCGCAAGGATTAATATAGCGGAAAAACCTCCAGTAAAGAGAATTAAAAAATACATTGTTTTACATAAATGAACACCAGGGTAATTATAGGACATTATATTCTCCAGATGAAAATGGATTGCATTCAAAACACATCCAACAAGATCCACAAAAGCCAGAGCTGGAATAAAATATCGAGAACCAGATTTATCTCGTATATATTTACCGTACAGCCAAAGCACAAGAGAGTTTCCAAATATTCCGAACACAGCTCCGATCATTTGTACTATTGTATTGGGGAGTAGTTTTTCCGAATGCTGTTTGGAGAGAAACTCGTAATGTTTGACCAAACTGTACTGGAACGTTTTATCCATATTTACATTTTTACTTAACGTTGTAACTGAGGTGAAGACTAGTGACAACAGTAAGAAATGATCTGGAAAAAAAACACCTGGTGTTTTATAAATAATATTTAAATAGGATGTCTATAATTACACTTAAAAATTTTAATTGAAATAGCTTTATAAAAAGTAGAATTCCTTCCGGTAAAGCAGATAAATAGATGTTTCTAGTGTGCTTAAACAAGTAATAACTTTATATTACGTAGTATGTAAAGGAACTGTACAAGTGTTTGTAAACATAGGAGGTGTAAATGACCATTGCAAGATTTTCTTAACAAGATCCCTTTTCATAAATTTCCTTTACGATGTTTAGCGCGGACACTTAAATATGCTCTTCTTCTCCATTTTATTTCACATAGTTTCATGATGATAGGATCTTCATTTCCTATATTTGTCATTGCTAATTACAAGTAAAAAAAAAATTGCCGTGTTTTCCTCCGTGTCATATTCAAGTGCTTGTTTTTTATCATGCATCATGATTTTTTTATATAACAAGGTTTATATGCTATTAAAGTCATCCATCAAATTTTTTGGTTAGAAAATTATTATTTTGGATGTTTCAGCGATTCAAAGTTTAAATTTCTCAATATGCATATTTTGATCGCCGATGTTGCGCGCCATTGCTCTGATGACAAAGGTGTCAGTCCTGGTCAAGCGAAGTACTTATTGTGTTTACAGAACGGCTCAATGGCTTAAAACCCTACTAGAAATTAAATAAATGATAATTGGTTAATTGATAGATAATTTGATATTATTTGTGGCGTTTGGATGAATAACAGCGCAGGAAAGGTTTTAGGAAGGTTTTTTACCTGCTAGGGACTTGGTAGGTGCGTGGATTTATCTCCATTCAGAGCATTCGTTAATGTACGATCATAATTTTTTCTGTATTTTATAAAGTATCTATTTAATGGAAATAGTATTTTTCAAAAAATAATAATTTATCAATAGGCATTTTAAAAGTCCGGCACACACATCATGCACTATGTGTTGTGAAGTTCGTAATGACGCACGGCGCCATTGAAGATGGAAGTGGCCTTTCTATCAAATGATGTCCGTTGCTGGAACAGATAGAAGATACACAGGATCTGTTTATGTATACTTTATTAAAATAACGAAGAAAGAAAATAACGACAATTTTTATAATTATTTAAGAATTCAAACGTTAATAATTCGATCTATTCAGTCGATCGAAGTCAGGAGTTGTCATTAACGGCTTCGTCTTCAATGCCCTATCCTCCTTTCACTGTATGTGTTTTGTTTATTTTTCTGTTGTAGAAGTTAATACATATAAGATTGAGCATCCATAGCCAAAGTTATATTGTCAATATCAAAATTTCTTCCAACCTAGTGGTGTATTCTTTTTATTTCTTGCAAATATCTATACGGTAGATGTTTTCGTGCGATGCGCTTTACGAGGTATATTTGCCAATTGACACCTATAACGCTTCAGTACCACGTGACCCCTATCTAATTAGTGGAGATTTTCAATCTGAAGACCCTACATTACGGACGTATTATGGCTTAAATACGACAGTATAAAACATTATTTCATAATTACACGATGATTATATGTTCCAAGAATATAATAGTGTTTATTTTTTAAGAAATTTCGATGCATGATAAAAACCCTTGGTGTAAAAAAAAAATGCTAAAAAATAACACAAACATCTACTTCTTAATCTAGAGATTATTTGGGAGAAAATTAAAAACATAAAACTTTATTATAAAAAAAAAAGAGTGGTTTAAATGAAGAGGAATATATATTGTGCACTTTTTTGTAAATTTTATAAAACATTATATGAAAAAAATATCAAGAAGAGAGCACATATCTTTTTTATCAGAAATTACAAAATTTAGGGCCTTTATTAACTTCCATACTTTAAAAACAGAAATATTCGTTTTTGATGCATAAAAATTCTTTATTTTTTTTTTTTAACAAATGCAATTATAAACGAAATAAAATTCTAATGGTAATTCTATATGTTTATAACATTTTGTAACTTACAAATACAAAAACTCTGGCAAACGAAATTTTATCCCAAGATGATATTAGCTTCTACAGTGGCTTCAGATTGAAGAAATGCATGATTTAATGTTTGATGCAAGTATAATGGACATTCTTTGAAAATAAAAGTTTAAATTGATTGAGTATATTTACATCAGAATGATAAAGAACCCTCACTGCTCAATGACCCTTAGTGCCGAGTATAGGTCAAAATTTGAAGCCCTTCACCGGTATACGGTGACGTCTCCATATAAGTGAAAAATTCTCAAGAGGGACGTTAAACAATATATAATCAATCATTATGTTTTTATTCCAATTAAAAAGGGTATACTTGTTATCTAGTTGCTGATCCTTACCTCTCGTAAGTTCTTTTGTCGATGAAATGATCTTGTTAACGAATACAATCTATCATGGAGGACAATTCTGTCTGAAATGTTCATACAAATTTTTAGGCCATTATTTATACATAAAAGAGTTGGTTGAGTTTTCTGTTATTTACCAAACATGACAAAAAGTACAAAGCGGATGTGACCGATCAGCAAAGGATCTTCACTCTTCCATGGCACCTTATCCTGCCTCTATTGATTTAGGCGTCTGTGTTTGCACTGACCTTATTTGAATTATTAAAGTGTGGAATTGAGGTGAAATATTGTTTGTTATCTCCATAGATTTCAGTCAGAAATAAACTACGGAATTTTTTTTTACAGTATCATTGACAAAAGCAATATCATTGCAGTATCATTGACAAAACTGATTTTTTCTTTACCTTACTGTATGGAATACGTCAACGTAGTTTACTTCTTTTCTATTGGAAAAAAAATACTAATGACAAACGTTCATATAACCGGATAAACTGCCCAAATGTTCAAAGGTTTATAAAATATAATATTTAGCATAGTACATCAAAGCAAAATGAGCTGCATTTTTGAGAATTTTATTTTGCTTGTAAGATGTGTTATAATGATAAATCTGTATATAATCTAAACTCTTATGATCAATAAAACGAAAATAAAGTTTTAAAATATTTCAGAAGAAATATTTCTGTACAACAAATTATATAGTATTATATAAGCGATCATTATTGTACAGGACGACAATAATTCATTTTTGCTTCAATCAACGCGTAAAAAAAGTTCTTCATACCAAATATTAACAACAGAAGTATATAAATGTTCTATTTTTCTGTCATTGAAATAATTAATTACACATTTGCAACATTTTTTCCGATGTCAAACATGCAGCTCATATTGCTTTAATCTAAAACTTGTCTAACGACGAAAGAACTGTAAAAGGTCGTTAATCAGCCAGTTTAATTTCCTTATCAACTTCTTCAAAAAGTTATTGGAAGCGCATTGATTTATGTAATCAGAATCATCTGGTCAGGATACATATAGAGAGAGGTGTTTTAAAAAGTAAATGAAAAGTTGATGACAATAAAATAAGATAAAAAAAAAAGTATGAACGGGAAAAATTTTCAAAAATAGATAAACATTCAAACATATCATCATATTCTGGCTTCCCTCTGTATGGGGAAAAAACCAAAACAACCAAAAAGAAACGATAAGACGTATGATAAAAAAACAAAATGAGCGTAATTTGAAGAGATTGTTAACTCGTCATTTCAATAAGTATAAAAGATGTCTCAAAAAGTTGTACAAAATATTTATAATTTTATAAACATGAAATCAGTAATAATCAAATTTGCATTGACATAATTCACTCAACAAAACTTAAAAGTGTTCATTCTTATAAATGTATCTATTTAAAAACTATAGGAAAGAAAGTTTTGATATTTTCATATTACTATAACCAACAAGTCTTTTCAACGATAGTTGATTGATTGATTGATTCTGTTTAACGTCCCTCTCCAGAACTTTTCACTGATATGGAGACGTCAACCATTGCCGGTGAAGGTCTGCAAATTTAGGCCTATGCTCGGCACTTACGGCCTTTGAGCAGGGAGGGATCTTTATCGTGCCACACCTGCTCTGACACGGGCCCTCGGTTTATATGGTCTCATCTGAAGGACCATCCCATTTAGTCGCCTTTTACGATAAGCAAGGGGGTACTGAGGACCTATTCTAACCCGGATCCCCACGGGGCAAACGATTATTGAAAGAAACTCAATTATCACCGACGGAAACCATTGTCTCTTGACGAAGCTAAAAACAATTTATCCGTACTTTGCGGCACGTGTTCTGTATAATCAGTATCTTTTTGTGTAATGTTTAGAAATTTGTTTAACTAAAAACATAAAACATTGTCGTAATGACCATTGAGAAAGGGGGGGAGCCCTTTGAATGTTAATAACTGGATCATCCTTGCATCATGTTTCACTTACTTTTACTTTAGTGTTTAGTTGTCCTTGATATTACTTTTTAAAAGTAATAATAACCATTAAAACCCATTTAAACACAATTTTCTAAATGTTGTGCCTTAATTTCATCGCCAGCTTATCACAATTGTGGAGCTTTGGACTACATGAAACCAAACCGGGGTTGATCTGAATCTTCGTCTGAGGCTAAGGTTTCGCGTCACAACAAGGCAATTTTGGAAACACAGAAACAAACATCTTTCATGACGAGAGGGCATTTAACAATTTTATATCATCTCAAATAAGTTGAACCATCATTAAAGCGGTACGTTCTAAAGACCGCATGATATTGACCAAAAGACATGTGTGTGATGATACACTGCCAAATCCGAAGATTAAAACCTATTGATTTTTCTTATAAGGAATGTCAAAGCCCCCCTCCATTTCAACTGATCTGAAAGATTCATTCAGTAGGTGTGGCAGCAGATGATACAGTGCATTTAAAGCTACACATGAAAATAATATGGTAATGAGGTCATAATGAGGTATTTGACGTCATGACAGTTGCTCCGACCTTATTGGTCCATATAAAGAAAGAGGAATAAATAGAAAAATCCCTATATTTGCAAGAATTTGTACTTTTGACGATGTGCACTAGCTCCCTAGATCAATCACTGTACATTTCTGTTTTATAAAATAGCATGTCTTTAAAATAATTCTCTTTTTAATGTGTCGCTTGGCTGCATCGGCTTCAGCCAAGAACTTCCAGTCAATGACACAGACAATGACAATTCGGGCAATTTTTAAAGAGAATATAGATAAAATAAGAGGCATGCCATTGTTTTATACCTTTTAAGAGAATATGAGGAAAATATTTTGGAAAATTGTGGAAATTCAGACCAGGTGTGTATGTGAAATTAGGTACAATATGTAGACATGATATTGTTTATATCATGGAAAAAAATGAATGTGTACATGTTCATTTAGATCACAGTCAGTGAATAACTGTGATGCAGTGCCTTGTGTGTACCCCCCCCCCCTTCCCCCTCTCTCACACATACAAAGCTGCACACTATTTAAAATTTTAATAGCACTAAAGATAAAGAGTTCTTGTCAATTACCTCATTTTCTTTGAGACATTAGATATGTATAGTAATTGTACGAAAGCCCAGAAGGCTCATTCGAGATTCGAGTTTCCAAATACCACATTCGAAATTCGAGATTTGAAATTCGAGTTTCGAGATTCAAGATCCAGACTGACCAATCAAAATCGGGTTCAACATTTGATTACTCACCTTTAATATGTTTTACTAACAAGAAATCGTTTAATATAATTATTATATCAAATGGGTCATTGTATTATATTACATTGCAAGTAAGAGTATTATGTAATTTCGAAGGAAATTCAAATAATTATTGGATTTTTAATCAGCTAGATATACTTCAATCTACATTATAAATTCTTAAATATTAAATAGATTACATATATCAGGAGTAAATATATTTTTGTATTGTACATTAAATTTTTATGTATTTCCTCTATTAGGAAAACCACAGGTACTTGTGGACGCCCCCCCCCTTGATATTCAACCCTAGGGCTTTTTGGACATTTTTTTTTCACAAAATATATCTATTACACTTATTCATCATGTATACAATATCAAAAAATTGTCAAATCTCTGAATAATCGCTCAACAACAAAAAAATATCCAACTATACATTATAAGAGAAAGATATGCCACTCCAGTCTGTTTACGTTGTATCCCCACTGGTATTTCTACGTTTACAAACATGCATTTATTTTGTTTTAACGTTAAATGTCTTTTCACACTATCTCTACTTATATTTCTGTCTTAGTCCATTGAATCGGACTGACTCTACATCACGTAATAAATCCCACATTTTCTCCTCAAACAGCATTCTCTCTTGCGAAGTGGTTAATAAATAGTTTTTTTTTTTGGTTGAGCGATAATTCGGGGGGTTTACACCAGCGATTTTCGCGTATTGTAACGTTACACATAATGAATAAGTATAATAGATATAATTTGTGAAAAAAATGTCCAATATGCCCTTGGGTTCAATATGATTAGGGGGGAATGGAGGTCTTGTCCAAAAGTACCTGTGTTTTTCCTAATAGAGGAAAAACATAAGAATTAAGATTAGTCGACAATACAAAAATATACCCCCCCCCCTGGAATTTGCATTGTTATTTGAATAAGACTGTATACTGAAGCAAATAAAAAATGACTTTGGACACCCCCCCCCCTTAGAAAACATTGACCCCACAGCCCCACTATCATTGTTTTTATTTTGTTGATTTGTTTTCAGTTTTTTTTTCTTTGCTTGTCAGGAAATTCTGGGCTGGAATTTCTTTGACTGAGGTGTGAACCCCCTCCCGAAAAAAAAAATCTGGATTAACTCCTTTAGCTATAGGCAAACTAAATGTCACATCGACAACGGGAGATAACTTCACAATGTGGCATGCGATGATCTTTGACCCTTCTTTAACTTTAACCTACTCATTTATGGCTTACTTTACTTCAATCTATACTTAAACTTGTACTTACCGACTGTCATAGGACCTGTCAACTTCATAAAATATAATCCAATTAAAACACAAAATATATTATTTCAATACAATACACCAAACTGCGCCATGTGCTTATAATCCCATTCGGCAAACCTTGGCTGATTCAATCGCCTTATTAGATGAAGTGGGAATCGGCCGAGGTGTGCCGAGTGATGCTGAATCTAACAAGAAGCCCGTGGGCCTTATAGGTCACATGAGTATCATGCAGCAACTTTCCAAAAATTGAATATGATTCATGTTTTAAATTAAAAGCCATGAAATTCACAATTTTGAGAAAGGCACCATTGTTTATCAAAATTATACACTCGGCATGGTTAATTTGGTTACCTAATATCCATAGGAAGACGAAAGTATCAAAGAGGAAATGCATTTCTACTTATAGTGAATTTCAGTCCCTGGGTCAGGGCTTCTTGTGTTAGGGCGGGTCCATAGTTGAGCTCCCCATCCCAAAGGAACCACTGACCCTGGGGCCACATCTTTCAAAAATTTTGGAAATTCTAAAATATTTTATTTCATCATGCTGTTGATTTATACCAAAGAGCAAATTTCAAAGACTTAAATTATTTCAGCCTACGTTACCCCCCCCCCCAAAGTACCTCTGTCCCAGGGGCCAGGAAATTAACCATTTTTGGAAGAAGCAGGTTTTTTGTCATAAATATATACTAAGATCATTGGCATTTTACCCAACAGTAAAGGAAAAGATTTTCAAAGAATTCATGCATTTTCATTATATAATCATTAGAGCCCCGCCCTAACACAAGAAGCTCTAACACAGGGACCCTGAAATTCAGAAATCTCAAAGAGGCATCCTTCCTCCTCATGCATGTAACTAGGTACAGAGTTTATTGGTTTAATACTCAGGTGCTAAAAAGAAGAGTTTTAAAGAATTTGTGTATTTTAAGTATATAATCAATAAAGCCTCGCCCTGACACCAGAACCCCCAACCAAGGGGCCATGAAATTCACAATTTTGGAAGAGTTAGCCTTATTCAGCATAACTATGTACTTGGTTAGTTTATTTATTACTCAGGAGCAAAGAAGATTTTCAAAGAAATAATTCATTTTTTACCATAGAATCTCTATAGCCCCATCCTAGCACTAGAACTCCTGACCCAGGGGCCACGAAATTCACAATTTTGGAAGAGGCATCCTTATTCAACATAGCTATGCACTTGGTTAGTTTATTTAATGCTCATGAACAGAGAAGAAGAATTTCAACGGATTTTTGCTTTTTACTAAAATCTATATAGCCCCACCCTAGCACTAGAACTCCTGACCCTGGGACCATTAAATTCACAATTTAAGAAGAAGCAGTCTTATTCAACATAACTATGCACTTGTTTCGTTTATTTAATGCCCACAAACAGAAGAGAAGAATTTCAAAGAATTTATGCATTTTCACTATATATTCTATATAACCCCGCCTTGGCACCAGAACCCCTGACCGTGGGGCCATGAAATTCACTTTTTTGCAAAGTGCGGTCATTTTCAACTTACCTATGTACTTGGTTAGTTAATTAAATGCTCAGGAGGAGAAAAGAGAATTTCAAAGAAATAATGCATTTTCACTATATAATCTGTTTAGCCCCGCCCTAGCACCAGAACCCCTGACCCTTGGGCTATGAATTGCACAATTTTGGTAAAGGACTCAATGCTGATTACGATCATACTAACAGTTTGACTGCTTGATGTCCAGGAGTAGAGAAGATTTATAAAGATTGTAGTAATTTTAGTGGTTTTTGCCCCTTCCCCCCTCAGGCCCCAGGGGGACCGGGATCATGAAATTCACAATTGTTGTTCACCTTTACACATAGATGCTATATGCCAAATTTGGTTGAAATTGGTTTATCACTTTCAGAGAAGAAGCCAAAAATGTTCAAATGTTAACGCACGATGCACGACGAACGACGCACGACGACGGACGAAAAGAAATAGCAACAGGTCCCCTCAGTTAACTCAGGTGACCTAAAATATGATAATGGGTGACGTAACCCAATGTGATGTAGAAATTTTCCAGAAGATGTTTACATGTAAACATGTATAGTACAAGAACATATTTTAAATTAATTCATAACAAACGATGTTTTAATTAGTTTTCCCATCTAGCCTATTTAAAAACGAAACGTACGTGCTATGTGTCTGTGGTCCGGGGGGATAGGGGGGTGGGTGGGTGGGGGGGTTAGTAAATTTAAATTATCCTATTATGAGCAAACCATTTATCAAAATCTAATTTACATCAAAAAATTTATTCTTTTTTTCAGACTGGTAATAAATTAAGCATATAAAGTACTTATAAGAGGTTCTGAGTTATAGACCACATGGGTCACAGGGTATGGGAATTTCATACTCAATTTGATGAATACATGTTCTGTGTAAATTATAGAATTATTTTGACTGTTTCCTCGGAAAGCCCAATATGTAGAAGTGTGTATTTAGAGACAAACACCTTATTGTGGTATTACTGTGTCATGATAGCATCTAGTTCTTTTTTTTCTCCTCTCTACGATTACATTCGGAAGCTCCTCTTTAACAATAAAGCTTGTGTGTGTTTTTATAAACATCCTATTCAGATTTGAATTGATAAAACATTGTTTCCTTTTGGTTTTCCCTCACTGTTATAACTCGACTTCAACTCTCTTACAATGTTGAGTAGAATTGTAAATATGAAGGAGACGTACTCTTTCGCATTCAATTTCAGTATGGACGAATATTACGAGTTTCTCTCCGAACAGCATTCGGAAGAGCTACTCCCCAATACAATATTGCAACTGATTGCAGCTGTCTTTGGGATGTTCGGAAACACTCTTGTTCTTTTGTTGTACGGTAAATATATACAAGATAAAAGTGGTTCTCGATATTTTATTCCAGCTCTGGCTTTTGTGGATCTTGTTGGATGTTTATCGAATGCAGTCCATTATTACCTGGATGATACTGTGTACTATAATTACCCTGGGCTCAGTTTATGTAAAACATTGTACTTTTTGATATTGTTCACTGGAGGATTTTCTGCTCATTTAATCCTTGTGATTGCATTGCAAAGGTATCTGTTCATCTGTCGTCCATTTGGCCAGCAAATGACAAAGAAATTGCGCCGAATATCAGTTTCAATTATATTTTTGTTCTCCTTTGGTTACTCACTTCCATCATCGAGATTGATTGGACGAGAATTGATTTCGAACGAGTTAATTTCTTCCCAGCAAGTCATTAGTTGTAGATCTAATGATTTTAGTTTCAAAGGACATCGAGTGATGATCTGGTACTTGGGGATTTTACTACTGTTTATTTTATTAAACATCGGTGTTACATCTGCCCTGTACATTCCTGTTATTAGAGTTCTGTATAAATCTTTTTCGCACGGAACACCAAACGATCGCAATCATCGGGATTACAATGCCAATACTCGTTCTGAAGAAAGGCGTATATCCGATATGGAAAATATTGATATGGAGGAACGTCCTAAACAAGATGTAAGACGAAATAATTTTGAACATTGCAACAAATCAATAGACGACCGGAACCGGAAGTTAAAAGCGAGACAGAGAATAACCATCATGTTTCTTGTCATCATTATTGTGTACATAGCTTCGTATTTGACGACACTCGTTACACAAATCTTCGCCTTTGCAGAGCGCAGTGTTATGGACTTAAAAGGATATAGGCTGAATATTCTATATTTTTGTCTCCGTTTTAACCTTCTGAATCATATTGCAAATCCATACATTTACTGGATTTTTGACATCAAATGTAGACAGGAACTGAGAAAGTTGTCTCGTTATTGTATCTTCAAACATTAGATTTTTGCAATGAATTCATAAGCACTATTGTTTTTGTTATATTTTTGTCAATTTGAGTTTCTTACTGAATGAAAGCAAAGTTCATTACAATTATTAAATGTATATAACAGTAACAGAAATAATGTTCATTGTGTTAAAATTTTCTTTGAATATCATCAAAATTCGAAATCGTGTCTACAGCGTATATTGGACATAACTAATACATATATCAGGCGGAAGCATCTGTTGAAGAAATAATAGATATATACCGGATGCTTTTCTACACATACAAAATTACAGTTCTATTTCTGTTTGAAGCCCCCCCCCCCCTTATATATTATGTAATATATTGAGAAATATATCATAAAACAAATATTTGTAATTAATAAGATTATCATTGGGTAAAATTAATGGAGAGGGATTTTAAACTAGTAATCTATGTCTGCAACTTAATCCATTTCTTATTTTTTTCATGATGAAATATGTCATAATCGAATTCAAATGGAAAGAAGTCTTAAAAAATAGATCCTGCTATTTCTATTTTTAGAAAGGATCATTTCCCTGTTTCATTTCATATAGTTCAGACTTTCGAACTTTACTAATGCTATAAATAAAAAAAAAACAACACACACACAAAAAGACAAATATTTTTTACACATTTACGAAACCAGTCACCATTTTAATCTTCTACGTTACATTACTTATTCATGCCGGTATTGCTTATTCGCTTACAAAATTGTACAAGAACTTCGAATACCTTTTTCTCGTTTTACACTTTTTTTCAATTTTTATTTCAATGGTACTTTGTCATTTAACATTTAATATTAAGAAATTATGGAAGATTTTTTTTATCTTACACAGAGCATAAGTTCATTATTATCGAGTTTGATTTTTAAATTCAAATTAGATTAGTTATTATATACTAGAATTAACTCTTTTTCTTTGGATATATATATATATATATATATATATTTCACTTCCTTTTTGTAATTTATTTGTTGCATGATTAATTCTATAATCTCTGTAATGGAGGAAATAAAAGATGAATGAAAGAAAGAACTGAAGGTTATCGTGTTGATTTTCATAAGAGATACTTATTTAAAAATGTTCTACCGGTAATGAATAAATTAAAGACGAAAAGGATTGTTGATTGATTAATTGATTGTATATATTGTTTAACGGTCCCTATGCAATATACAATCAATCAACCTATTTTGTTTTTGAGCACTATAATAAATATTTTGTACTCGTACTCTTTGTCCTTTTACAATGTTTAATTACAGCGAGGGATTATTTCCATGCCGTTATCACAAATTGAAGCACTCTGTCATGTTTTCAAAATGTTCTTCGAAAATTACTTGTGTTTGATCGTAACTCCACTTTTCTCTTTGATTGCTGAAGTCAGAAGTTGCAATTGTCTTGAAATGCTCATAGAAAAAAAAACCATTGATTAAAACCTTTTTGATTGCTTTTACGGTTATGATCTAGAATTCATCTTTAATCCACAGATATTATCTTTTACAATTCAATATCTGTTTTAGTTTGATTGATCGGTTCCACTTGGGAATTCTCAATATTTTGTCATACTTTGTTTATAACAAACATCAAACTAAATACCAATTATTTCAACTAATAAGAATAGGTTGCTGTGAAATGTTCAACAGTTGTGTTTCTCAAAACAATGTGTCATCCAATCTAATTCTTTAATATCTTCATTGCATGCATAAATATTTTCAATATTATACAATCATGGAATCTTTTGGTGTTGAATATGGTTTGTTATTCACCAGAAAAATATCAATATTGACCGAAGGGAAGCCAAGCCAATATTGATATATTTCTGATGAATAAAAATCCATATTTTACTCCAAAGGAGTCCATAATTCATCATATAGTTGGAATTTGAATAAATAAGACATTGAAGGCTGCATGACGACACCATTTTCATTTTAGGAACTTTTCGTGGAAAATTAAAAAAAATACCCAGCTTACAGTTTGTAACCTCCATGTTTTCCCATTCGAGTTTTGCTAAGTGTAAAATGTCCAAATGTTTAAATCAATCCTACGATTAGTTTGTATAACATTTTGTTTTGCTTAGATACATAACTGCCTTTGGCCGTTGCAACCGCAACCGTTGTTTACAAAATTGTTTATAACATTGATTGTGAAGTAAAAATTTCGCTTCACGTGCACTGACCCTCCTGAGAATACGGCCTCACATCCGGTGAATATGTAGTGTTATGAACTGCCTGTGCTTGTACAGATTATATAGGGGCTATAAATAAATTAAATAATAATTTGAATTAATGCTGCCCTACCACCTGAATACCGATCTTGATTACTAGAATTTTATGATCAGTTCTCCTGAATTTATTGCCGGTGATGTATGGATATCTTCTTAAAATAATTTAACATGTAATGGGGCATGGACTGAATAAATAGTGAAATTGGACACAGTAAAGAGATCAACAAGTTTGAAGATATCTGGCATAAATATAAAATAATAAATAGCGCTCGAAAACCTTGGCCCCTGTAAAAATTAAATCATCACCACTGCAATTTACAATTCAATTTTCTCAAGCCAATTGCTTTACACAGAAAAAGTAATTTTTGGTCTAAATTATTTAAATGGAATACGTGTTATTTCTACGTGGGAAAAATTCATCAGTTTGATAATTAATAAATCATGAATCTTCTGCAAATCATAATTATGTAAAATAAAAATTCTTCAGCTAAAAAAAAATCATAAATTTTTGCTTTTGTGTCCCCAAGAAAGATAATCTCACCCTTTTCTTCAAACATACTTCTGGCTTTCTATATCTTTGCTAAGGTCTCAATTACACATATTGTAAAGTTTGAGAAGATTGATGGAAAGTATACATCATGGTCAATTTGAATTAAAATGATACTTAACTTAAACCATACTTTGAAAAGTTACATATAAGACCACATAATAAGACATAATTTACAAGTGTTTTGAATAATATCGGTATCAACACCTTGTATACACTTAGAGTTTCTTCTAGGAAATGTATCTTAATTTGATTTTCGTTAAACTTTAACAACAAGCTTCCATTAATATTCCAACTAATAAAGGTAAAGGATTGAACCTCATAGCACCCCTATTCGCGCTGGATCGCATATATTTACTTGACCACACGTCTTCAGAATTGCTCATTTTATCTGCTCTGGCCACCCCCTTTCTTGTTTGTCTATTTGTAAATTCTCAACCTTCAACACTGCCCTTTTGTTATACCGTGACCGGGAGAAATGTTTTTCAACTCTGCATGACCTCACTCGGAAACTGATCTTTATCAATAAAGTTTGTGTGTATTTATATACACATCCTATTCATATATCAATTTATAAAACATCACATTCTTTTAATCACTGTTGTCACTGTTGATATCCTGAAAAAGAGATACCAAACACAACATTAAAATCAGGCCCTGCAGTTTAATTATATCCTCATTCATAAATAATGAAGTATTGATCTATATATCTAATTATTTATTTCTTTTGGGTGAAATAAGATACATTGGGACTTGACAAATAAACTTCAGTACAATTTTTTAATACCAGAGATTAGAAGTGGTCATTGAATATATCCGTGAAATAAATCCGGTTTTATGATATGATTGATTGTTTCAATTGATTGCTTTTGTCACGAATATTATATGTTATGTAGACAATTAGCAGGGTAATACGGATATTAAGTGGGATCCTTGAAAAAAAAATAATACTGGATGACGCGTACATGTAATACCCTTCTAAGTGTCTGCAAAACAAATTGATCCTGTCGAAGATTTCTTAATAAAGTTCTTTTTTCTGAGTTAGCAAACCGTTCCGTTACAACTGTTTAATTGTTTATATTGTGACGTCATGTTTACATTTGAATATGACGACAGTTATTAGGCTCTTTGCGTGTTTAAATGAAAACAACCTATTTACTAGGATCTGTGCAGTATGGAACGTGGAGGGGGCATATTGATTGACATAGAGTGTGTGGTGGGTAGGTCAACTGGAGGGGGCATATTGATTGACATAGAGTGTGTTGTGGGTAGGTCACCTGCAGGGGGCATATTGATTTATATAGGGTGTGTGGTGGGTAGGTCACGTGGAGGGGCATGAACATTAGCAGGTCATTTCCAAAATAAATCCTCCAAAATCAATTAACTTTATGTCGTAAAATTAATGACTCGCAAATAGAGAGATTTCTTTTCAATTAAAGCTATGAAACATCAATAATAAAAAACAAATTTCATAAGAAGGAGAGTATAAATGAAAACAGTGGTATACTTGATATGTATCAATGTTGCATTGATGATGATCTTTAGCTTTAGACACTTTTGAAAAAAGAACTTTTTATTGTTGACACCAAAATATGAAAGCTTGTTAAAGTTTTTGTTTATTCAAAATAGTATTTTTAATTCAAAAAGTATTTAAATGTTTGTAAAATAACAATAGAATACTCTCTGTTTGGTAGTGGATATGGCGTGGTGTTAACATTGAAAAGATGATTTCTTCCTTTGTATCATCATTTCTTTCCGAAAAACGGTAAACTGCAATTTATTTTTAACTCATCCCAAAGAATACAGATTTAAGAGTAAAAACGGGGAAAAACAAGCAAGTTTCGTCAAAGATCGGTGGCATTTTAATTTGATTGCATATTATGATATCGCTAATTTTTTAATGTTTTATTTTCGTCGTTTTTGAGGTATGGAGAAACCACTTCTCTGCGTTTATAGAATATTTTTGAAGTTAATGGAATTTGAAGACTTTTGTTTTTATATCTGAGCAATACTTTGACTGTTTGCCTTCCAAAAAATCATATATTTGTCCTAATAGTGTGCAAGCTTATATATTGCTGCAATACCAAAATGGGAATTCTATTAAATATTTATATCTCTTATTTCAAATTATTCATGAAATGGGTGACAATAAATTAAAAGAAATATTCTCGATCAGTTATAATTAGACACATTGGTAAAAGATGCATGACATGAAACCGGGGACCCTAAATACAACATTAATATTATCCTGGATAACGAATTTCAAAGATATCAAGAAGAATACGGCATGTGTGACCAGTCGACAGGGGATGCTCATTCAACCATGGCACCTGATCCCAACTCTGATGATTTGGCCGTTCTTATTTGATCTGCTTCTAATTTGTAATGTTTAATGGACTTTGATTATGAATACTGTTCGTTATCTCCATATGCTTCATATATCTAATAATGATATTAATTTGAAGATGTTGTCA